AGGGATGCGTGGCGCATGGTGAATGATTTGTTTTATCCCTTAACTTGCCACATAACTTAGGCTGGACCAGGGTGAATATCGGTCGAGGAAATCCTCGACAGGGGGGTCGTACCTGTCGGGCTGGGTCATGGGGGGTCGTACTCTTGAGGGTATAGCGCGCAGCAGAAAATGAAAATATCTGAAAAAACATGATATTAATGATATGATATTTTCTTTGCAAGTTCAGTCGCTCCATTCCTTCCACCTTCATGAGAAGGGCGTATTTGAAGGCAGTACAGGAAGAACTGCCACATGTGCGCACGCGCTGCAAAGGCACCTCCCTGCCTATCGCTCGCTCCTTCTCCCTTAATGCCTCGCTGAGAATGACACTGTTGTTAGGGACCTGTCGCAAAAACGACAGCCGTGAAGGAAAAGCCCTGGGCAAATGAAGTTGTTCTTCAGGTTGTAGGAGTTACGAAATGCGTTTACTACAATGCAGCTTCTGTCAACTGGTCATGATCATATGACACCTTCGAATCGATTCTGCAACTCGAGTGAGGTCATCATGGCTACTGCAACAACGATATAGACGATTGCGGCCTTCCTATTGCTTATGTGATTTTTCTAGAGCTCACTCAACATGCCAAAAATCAACGCCTTCAAAATTTTGGTGAAGGAGGGAGCGGATTTTCAGGTTGGCCGGATCCGTCCTCGATACATACTCGACGCAGATATCTTCTCAACTAGGAATGTAGAAGAAAGCTAAGAAGACCATCAGAAAGCGCAAACCTTCCGCTTTCAAAACTATCTTCACTTTTTCAGGATCACGTTTAAGAGAGAGATATTGCTCTTGAAGTGGCAAAAACTCGCGTAAAAATTTCAGCGTCCTCGACGTTTACTCGACGAAATTTGAGAGACCCTATCTTTCTGCATGGAACTTTCAGAGCAATTTCAATACTTCTTGGAAACGCGAAATCCAGCTCTATCTAACCCTACCTCAAACTGCTTCAAAGGTTATGAAATGGAAGGAATGCAACCTTTTCATCGAGGGTGTAGATTTCGACGGTTTTTTTCGGGATTTCAGCAAATCTGACCCAGTGACAATCGCGCCGCAGCTGCCGTTGAATCGGCCATTGATTGATACACTCGTGTTTCGATGGATCACAGAATAGGATTAATCGAACCCCGTGCCTTCGGATTTCTGTGCATTTCTGAACGAACCTGACTTTGAGGTCACACAAAGTTAATGCCTCTTTCCTCGAGTCGATATTTCAGTAAATACAAAAGTGTGCAGCGATGGAAGACAGTGCATAGATGACAAGATGAGGCGTCCTTAGCATTATTTTGCAGATTTTTTTTTGATTTGTTTTGCAGGATTTATTTTAATTGAATTAATTTGCTCTGTTAGAGGGGGTCGTGCCAGGATCTCGATTTCGGGGGGGGGGGGGTCGTACCTTCTGCGACCACGTACTCGACACGATTTTCACCCTGGGGTGGACCTTAGGGTAAGCCATCGTCGACGTTTCATCGGTAGAGAGATTATACATAACCTCCCTTCAAAAAGCGAGAAAGTGTCGGGTGCAGACCAAACACCACAACTGACGACGGCCTCCAAGTAAATCTGGTTAGAAGTTGTTCATAGTGATAGCTGATTTCTGGTAAATGATAGTTGTAATTAGTGACAACTGATAGAATACAACTGCAACAGGCTAATCATTTCATTGGCAGAAAACATTACATTTTGTGAAGGCCGTCGTCACTTGTGGTGCATGGTCTGCACCCGACACTTTCTCGCTTTTTGAAGGGGAGGGTATTTGGCTCTTTGATGCAGCGACGGAGTCGTTATAGGCAGGTGACCGTCCGTCATCAATTTCGAGATTACGAACCCCTCCCTTTTTCAGGGGTGTATGACTACAACCCCCTATTCTACTTAGCTTTTTTACGTATCTTTATACCCACCATCATTGCTGTGCACGACATAGAAAGAGGTGATGGTAATGGGAGTTGCGCCGCGTCTTTTGACTTGCCACCGTTTTGTTTCGCTCAGAAGACGGGAATCAAGGCAACATGAAATTTGGCTCTTTAATTAAAGGCAGCTTCTGGAAATTTGCAGGAACTTAGTCTTCTTGCAATCACGTAAGACTCCACCTTCAGAAAAATACCTTTTTTTTAACTTCCAATTATCCCTCTTTTATGTGCTGAAAAAACAAAAATTGGAGTAGTTACGGAGGTTGTTTTTTAGAAGGTTATCACTTTCTTCGATAGTGCTCTCATAGGACGAGATACAAAATTTAAGAAATTCGAATCGTTCTCTTGAAGAGTCTCTAAACGTTTTGCGAACATTTCCTCGAAAATTCATCCCGTTGGTCTATCTTTATGCGATTTTTCAATATTCAAACGTTCATAACTCCCTTCACAACTAAATTTTTGCAGGTTTCTAAGACAAACTAGAATCTTGAAGATTGGAGCTTACGAAACAATATCAAAACATTTGGAAGGAAATAGTCCTTTCAAAAATAGTCCCATTGTTTTTTTTCCTCTGATTTTTGGGCCATTTTCCTAACCACGGGTTTTCAACATAAATACCCATAAGTTTCTTCAGAACAGGTATGATTGAAAGCGACAAAAACCATCAAAATCTACTCAATTCAGTGCTTTATAACATGCGTTTATCTCGCTGGAACGCTTTGAGGTAAAAATTTTCTTATGAAAGAATATTCAATTAGGACTTTAAGGGGAAACAGCCAATTCACTGTACATTCCTCCTTTTGATTCGACTAGAAGTATGGGAAATTTTCTGAAAAAATTGTTTGCTT